AGGACGAATCTGTCTTAAGAACACAATGTCGAACACTAGACTTGATCAGAATATTGTTCAAGAAATTAATCGAGTAAGTTGTTAATTTATTTTCTGGCTTATTATTTATTTAAATTAGATTTTGATTTTGTTTTTGTAACAAAATAAAATTTTGTTTTTATTTATTTATTTTCATTTATTGGTTTGATTTTTGTAATCAAACAAGCTCTCTCCTTTACTATTTTTCTTTTGTATTTCGTTTGTTGTTTAGTACACAAACAAAATTTATTTCATTAAATACAGTGAAGATTGTCCAACAGTTACATGTCTCAATCTAGTTGGATAAGTTCTTCAAAAATAACGCTAGTTTTACATTGCTTTGCTTTCTTGTTTGATGTAATCTATTTATACTTCTTGTACTTTGATTTACATCAATAAACTTATTTTTGTTGATAAAAAAAACATTATGTTTAATTCACTTTTAAGGGATGAAACAGAAGCATATGGAGGGTTATGAGGCAGAGAGAATACAAATATTTTAAACACTTCTCTTCCCTTTCAAAATTGGGATGAAACAAAAAAGAAAATGACATATTTGTTAATAGTAATATTTTGTAAGATCTAACTAAATATTAACTAACTAAATAAGTGGGAGAATACCTTTCCTCCCTTTCTTTCACTCTCTTCACTAACTTTTTCCTTCTTTCACCCTTCCTCCACTCAATCTAAATGGAGTATAAAGGAACTAAAACAAGTACACATATTAGTGACCCAAAGGATAAGTATCTGGCCAAGGCTTGTCTTCGATCTATATATGGGTTGGACTGGAGCTGACTGGACAAGTGGACTCACCATGGACTTACTCTAAAAATTTGATATGTTTCATGAAAAAATTAAATTAATTAAATTATCGTAATCACATAATTTTGTTATATTTATATTTAAAAAAAAATTATGCAACAGTGATTTGATCGTACTCATATAGTTTCATTATATTTATTTTAAAAAATGTAATTATGATTTGTTCGTACTCAATTTGAATTTTGAATTTATTTAAATTAAATAAAAATAAAAATTTGAATTATTATTTCTCCCTCTAATTTAATCATTATCTTTACTACGAAAGTGAGTGTTCTTTTAAAAATTTTATATTTAACATCACTTTCATATCACGACAAAACTAAAATTATTCTTGTGCATTATTTATGTTGCAACATAATTTTTAAATAATTTTATGTGTTTGTACAAATATATATATATATATATAATTAAATTAAAATTATAACATATATTTATTAAGATATATTTTATGGAACGATAAAACTATGATTATTCTTCTATATTGTATACTTGGCAATATATATACATATAATTTCATTTATCATGTACACAAATAATTTAATAAAAAATATTACATTTATTTATTTAAATTATAATGTTTAAAATAACTTTATATGTATATTTATATATACATAGAAATAAATAAATTGAAATTTATAAGGGTTCTCGGTTGAAAAATCCAATTTTGCATTTTGTTTGTCCAAAGGTTCAAACACTAATGTATTATGTCCATAAATACAAGCCTTTGTAAAATGACCAAACTACCCAAGTATATATATTATTTTCTAAACCAAACCCTAATCAAACCATACTCTCTCTCTCTCTCTCTTTCTCTGTGTGTATCTCTTCTCACCCCCTCTCCTTCTCCTATATGAGCTCCTCTACCCCTCTCTTTCTTACCACCACTTCCCCCCACCCTCCACTGCTCCACCGTTATCGCTACCACTACCGCCTCTTTCTCTTCTCCACTTTTGTCAACATCGATACCACCACAACCCAAATGCCGCAATCGACCGCGTCTTCTCTGTCGACTACATGGTTGTCAGCTGCTCTCTCCTCTTATGCCTATCTCTCTCTTCTATACACCCATTGCACCACCTCTCTTTATTTAGATTTGGACTTCGCCGTCGTTTGGACTCTGCCGTCGTCTATATGTAGAGAGATCGGCCCATGTGTATATATACATGGGTAACACCAACACTATAACAAATTTTCAGAGAAGATGATGATGATGATAGAAGAATTTGCTAAAACTTCTGTATTTATTCATTGACTAAAAACAACTTTAAATAGAACATATCAAAAACAAACTTAGCACATTATATAGAACTGACTTGTCCCATGACTAACAAATTCCTAGACTAATGGAATACTCTTAAAACTTAGGATACCATAACCGACTCCCAAAAGAATAGGACAACTGAAACTTTATTCAACAAATAACAATAATTAAAATAAACTCCTAACACCCTCCCTTAAACTGAATATCTTCTAGACATCATCAGTTTAGAGAAAACAAACTCTAGCTTACACATAACAATGATCTCCTCTTCCCTTAAACAATATCCTTCAACAAACAAATTCCCAACATTTGTTGCCTTAACTTCACAAACACAGTTAGCTTGAGAGGCTTGGTGAAAATGTCTATAGCTTGATCTTCACTTTTACAAAAAATTAATTCAATGATACTATCCTTGCAGAGATCACGCAAGAAATGGTACCTCACATCTATATGCCTGCTCATCCCATGTAAAACTGGACTTTTGAAAAGCTTGATTGTAGAAGCATTATGACAATAAATCAATGTTGGACCTTCTTGTTGGTAGTAAAGTGCTTCAATTAACCTTCTTAGCTAAATGTCTTGACATGAACTTGATGTTGCTGCAACAAATTCAGCTTCAGTAGTTGATAGAGTCACAATTTATTATTTTTTTTTATAACCATGAAACAACCCCGGTCCCCATCATAAACACATGAGCCGAAGTGCTTCTTCTATCATTAGGATCTCCCACATAATCACTATCAGTAAAGCCAACTAGACTTGATCGTGCTCCCTTTTTATAGAAAATACAAAAATCTTTTGTACCTTGTAGGTAACGAAACATTATTTTCACTGCTGAGAGATGAGGCTCTGTTGGATTCTCTATATAGAGGCTGATTAGGTTGACAAAATGCATTATATCTGGCCTGGTTGAAGTCAAATACATCGAACTTCCGACAATTTGTTTATAAAGATTGGCAATCACCTTATTTCCATCTGATTTCTTTACTAGTTTCAAATCTGGTGTTGTTGGCGTTCCAATTGAATTACAATCCTTCATTTGAAACCTGTTCAAGACTTCTTAGACGTATTTCTTCTGAGTAATAAAAATCCCAGCTGATGACTATATTACTTCAATACCAAGAAAGTAGTGCATCAACCCCAAATTGGTCATATCAAACTCAGTTATCATAGATTGTTTACAAATATCAAACATGACTTTATCATTACCTGTGTAAATCAAGTCATCCACCTATAAGCACACAATAAGAATTTTTCCACCTTCTCCAAACTTTGTAAAAAGTGTATGCTCATATGGATATTTATGAAAGCCTTCTCTAGCAAAATAAGCATCTATACGACTGTACCAAGCTCTGGGTGCTTGTTTCAAACTTTTTGCTCATTTCCTTGCTTCACATACCTGGTAGGTTCATATACACTTCTTGTAACGCACCGTGTAAGAAAGCCGACTTCATGTCTAATTGAAAGGTAGGCCAACCATTTTGTGTAGCAATAGAAAGTACCAACTGGATAGTATCTAATCTTGCAATTGGAGCAAATTCCTCTTTGTAATCCACCTCAAACTCTTTCTTGCAATCTTTGGCTACTAAATGTGCTTTGTGCTTGTCCACTTCTCCTTTCTCATTTAACTTAGTTTTGTAGATCCACTTGACATCTATTATCTTATGCTCTATTTGAAGATCTGTCAGCTCCCATGTGTCATTCTTTTCTAGGGGTAAGAAGCGGATATTTTGATCTATCCAAAACGACCAAACCGAACCGATCCACCGCATTTTGGACGGATGCGTGATGACAAGCGGATGGTTGCGCATTGACTTTTTTTTTTAATCTGCCTAGTTTTGACGAATGGTGGATTTGAGGTTCCTTTGGCCGCAACTAAACCGCCCAACCACAAGCACCCCTAGTAATTTGTAACACTTTATATTTTCAATTTGTTTAGATATTCTATTTGTGTTTTCAATTGAAAAACAGTTTAAATATTCTATTGTGTTTCCAATTTATTTTCAATTTGGAAATCCTTTTATCAAATGACAAGTATTGATATTTGATATTTTTGTGTAGAAAATATAAGGCTTAATTTTGTCATTAAAAAAAAATCAAATTAAATAGTTTTTGAATAAAAAAAAGAGTAATGAAATAGTTTTGATAATGCGTGGTTTCCTTATATGTATTTATTATTCATATTTGACAATTTACTTGATAATCTTTTGGCTATGTTGAGTTGGATTGTTATCAAAAAAAATATTGACAAGTTGTATTATGTTCAAAATTTGTAAAAGTTTAAACCGCCAAACCGATTCGCATTCATCTACCAATCCGCTCAATTCGCATCTGTCAATCTGACCGACGGATGCAGATTGTTTTTTTTCAATTCGGCGGACGGATGGCGGATTGGAGATTCCCCAGCCGCAACCAAACTGCGAACGCCCCTATTATTTTCTATGGCATTAATTTCCACATCTATGGCTTTTTGCCACTTTGTTTCTTTGACCGCATCTTGAAATATCACAGGATCACAATATGTAAATATAGCAAAGTGTCACTACTAGAAAAGGGGGCTTTTGACACGGAACTTTTTGCGACGGTTTAAAAATCATCACAAAAAGTAAGCTTTTGCAACAGCCACTGCAAAACTTTTTGCAACAGACTGATATCCGTTGCAAAAGCTACACATTTGAGACGGATAAAATAATTCGTCACTAATAGTATTTGTTGAGACAGAAAATGGCTGTCGCTAATAAATGAGCAAAAAGACATTATCATTAGTGACGAAAACAAATTACCCGTCGCAAAAGGGTCCATCAATTGTGACAGATGTTAAACCGTGACAAAAAATATATATATAAAACGACGTAGTTTTATGTTTTTGCGCATAACTCTGTCCCTGACAAATAATACAAGCCCTAACCCTAACTATCTCTTCCTGCCATTGGCGTTGCCTCACTCCGCCATCCTCCCACCGGTGTCGCCCTCGCAAAGCAAACAAGCAAGCAGCAACTTCTCGAAATCTCCAGAGGGTACTGGTGCTGTGAACTCTCAAGATTCTACTTTCATTCGATTCTTGATCTGAGTCGTCTTGTTCGGTGATCTAATCAAATCAAGCAGAAATGGCATTAGCGTTCGATGAGTTTGGGAGACCGTTCATAACAATAAAGGAGCAAGAGCAGAAGACGAGGCTCAGAGGTCTCGATGCTCAGAAAGCCAACATTTCCGCCGGGAAAGCCGTTGCTCGCATCCTCCGCACCTCTCTCGGCACCAAGGGTATGGACAAGATGCTCCAGAGCCCCGACGGCGAACTCACCATCAGTATGTCTATACACATACGTTTCATCTTACTTTGTTTTTAACTTGTCAAATGATCGGCTAGGGTTTTTTAATTTAATACATTTAGGGTTTTTTTGGTCCTTGATCTATTTGTTTTGTGTTATCTATTTGAAGTTTACTTATGGATCTAGGGCAAGGAAAGCGAAAAAGGTGTATTATGATTCGTCAACTTGAGTATTAATTTGTTTTGGTTTTTGTTAGAGAATATGTTTAGGATGCACAGTTAGGTGAAGTGTTCTACTGAGTTTTGTGGGTATGAGTGCAAAAATTGAATTAAGAAAGTTTTGATTATTGTACATTTTCAATGTCATCAAAGATGCTTTCAAGATCACACTGATTGTCTGCACCTGAGGTGAGTTCTCGTTGATTCACTCGAATTTGTTCGATTTTTATCATTCTGATCGCTGTAAAGAGTGTAATTTTAATTTGTATTTTGGCCGATTGACGCTTATTTTACAGTAATTTATAAGTTTGGAGTGTTCTTGTTATGTTTCTTTAGGGGAAGGGGAAGAGACCCAAAAGGCAGCCAAGAGTACTACTCCGAAGCTACAAAAACTCAATTCAATTTCAACACTAGTCCCATAGAAGAACCCAATACCAACCCAATTTTCAAATTTGAAAGCTGGGTTCTTTATCTCATTTCAATCAATCAATCAGTCTTCAATGTGTGTATATATATATACACATGTACAGGGCATTAGTCCAAGACTACCTCAATACTTGGATCTTTCATTCTCTCTCTTTCATCAGGTGACTTAGCCTACCTGTTTCTCTTATGTTTTTCTTTTTGTTTCTTGTTTATTTATGCCTCTTGTGATTGTAACATACAAAAATTTCAAGTCCTAATTGGGTTCTCCAAAGAAATTTTCTTTGAATCACATCTGGGTATTTGCTGAATTTTGCTTCTGTTGATTATAGATTGTATGTTGTTCAGATCATTGTCAATGTGTTGTTGCTTTCTCAGCCGTGTGTTTAAAGTCTTAATTGGGTTTTTTTCAGACAAATCTTTTTTGAATCTCTTCTGGGTATTTGCTGAATTTTGATTCTTTTGATCGTAAATTGCATGTGTTTCAGATCATTGTCAATGTGTTGTTGCTTTCTCAGCCGTGTGTTTAAAGTCCTAATTGGGTTTTTTTCAGACAAATCTTTTTTGAATCTCTTCTGGGTATTTGCTGAATTTTGATTCTTTTGATCGTAAATTGCATGTGTTTCAGATCATTGTCAATGTGTTGTTTTCTCAGCTATGTGTTTGATTTCTTCAAACTTCCCATGAGTTGTCTTGTTGTTTACCCCTTTTTTTTTCTTTATTTGGGTTTTGCATTCTACTATATGTGAGCTGATAAATTAATTCTAGAAAATTTTGCAAATCAGTTTTGTAGGGTGCTGTGAACTTCACTCCCGTGGGTATACCTAGATGGAGTATGGTTAAAACGAAATCTATATTTAATTTGGGCCTGTTTGCTTAGTGCTTCCAATTTTTTGGTTAAGTCAATATAATAAGAAAACAATTTTCTCATGATTGGTCAATAAATCCTAATGATACGCTAGAAGGATCATGGATTGAGCTAGCACATTTTATTTTATTTTATTGATGAGGGGAACTTATTATATAGCTGTAAATGGTGATGATAAATAACAAAAAGTAGAAATGTTATTGGTGAATCTCTGGTTCTTTTTCTGATATAATAATACCAAAAAAAAAAAAAGTAAATCTCATATCTAAATCTTTTCCTTTCAGGGAAAGCTGTTCTCAGATTCTGAATCTATACGGTCAAGAGTTGAGGCTACAACGCTTCTTAAGCAATTGGATTTCCCGATTTGTGTTAAAACTATTTTTAAGTTTTGTCAATCAAACTTATTTATTACTTGCTTTACATGTTTTATTCTTTTAAGGAAGCTAGTCATTTTGTCCGTCATTGTATTACAAAATAGACTTAATAAATATTGCTAAATAGTAAAAGTGAAAATGATAATTCTACATATCATTAAGTTGGAAACTTTATTTCTTGCAAATTTTAGGGTTTGTGGGCCAAATATTAGAATTCTGTTTGTTCACTCAAATTATTTGGAATGCAATTATATTCAGAAAGATTAAACAACCATGCCTGGACTGATGTGTTGATGCATACACCATGACAGTTTGGCCATGTATTGACAGGTTGACAGCTTGAAGGAAAAACTCCTTGAAAAAGTAGAACAAGCTTGACTCTAGAGAAGTAAGCAATGCTTCATTGGATCATGATGGACCTTTTAAATAAGGAATTTACCCTGACTCAGTTCCTTCTGCTACTTCTAAGGTATGTGAACACAAAATGGCATTATATTTGTTTTTTATATGGGTATCTTCTTCGAAGTTTCTATATAAGGGTGCAATTGAGGTTGGTAGTTGAACACCACAAGCTTTATCGGCTTCTACCAACTTAGAAGCTCTTAATTGTATTGGAACACTATTCGATTAAATTTAAATTTAATTGTACTATTGTATGGTATCAAACCACTCCTAGCCGTTAGTGCAATTTGAATGAGATGAACTCTGTTTGAATTTCTAACTGTGCTTGTATGACGCATTAATAAAAAGAACTTAATTTCAGAAATAGGAGCTAACTGGTATTGTTGTTCTGCCAATTTTTTTTTCCCCTGAAGCATGTACTCTTTCTTGTTAGTTCTTATAGCAAGTGCCCATGTTAGATTTGTTGTTTACTTTTTTAAATCCTGTAGTTAGTTTTTGCACAATAACCATTGCTTATCTACTATTTTTTGTGTCAGGCTTCTACTCGGGAATTTGTGGATGTTGTCTTTGCTTATTGGGTAATATTCCCTGATTCAGAGCAGCAACTAATCAATCTTGCACAAGACCTTGTTACCAGGTATGAGTTTAAATAATTTTTCAGGTAAAGAAGTTAAAGTGTGGTTTACACACATCTTCACTCCTAGTGGCTTAAAAAATTTAACTCCACTCAGCTGATAATAGACACCTGTTGTACTTGATTGTGCTTTTCATTATGCCGAAAATCAAATAACAGGTTCAGTTTTTCCCTGCTCTATTTTTGTACAATCACGTAACAGTATAGCTAACCTTGAGGATTCTCTTTCTTTGTTTGGCTCTGTGGGATTTTGCAGTGACGCTTTGATATGTCGAAAATCAAATAACAGGTTCAGTTTTTTCCCTGCTGTATTTTTGTACAATCACGTAACAGTATAGCTAACCTTGAGGATTCTCTTTCTTTGTTTGGCTCTGTGGGATTTTGCAGTGACGCTTTGATGGAACAAATTAAAGCATTGGTCTATCGTCACCCAGACAAACTCTATGTAGGTCTATGTTTTTTTTTTGTTGCATTAGTTATTTTGTTAAATTGGCAGTTCTCATTGTTCATATATTAAGCAGATGGAGACAACTGGAGGTAAAAACAAGGGCTACCATGCAGAGATGATTGTTGTTACTTATTGCCGAAATAGGAAAGACATATGACAAGTCAAAGTTTCGGATCCTTCTTGTAAGTTTGTGTCTCTTAATGCAGTAAGATTGCATTTGAATTGTTATTAGTTATTTCCTTTTAAAATCATATTAAATTAGTTGAGTGTAACCTGCATACCTCATTTAATTTGATGTCTAGTTTGTAGAATATCTCAGATTGGTAATTGCTGGTGTGTTTGACAGATAATTACTTGTCTTCCAGAGTTTTGGGCAGCATGGAAGGGAGCTCATTACATCTGAGCTTGCATTAAGGATACTCTCCATCTTGAGTGGAGAGCAATTTCCACCCAACATGGATCCAATTTCTTTAAACGACACGTTTGAGAGGCTTGTGATAAAGGTAACCTTTAATCTTTTCGCTAGATCCTTCCCTGCTTGCTTTAACCTCTTTTTTTTTTTTTTTTTAATAAAATGTACTGTGGATGATTATAGATATGTGCGTCTATATCAGTAAACAAGTGTTATATGTATAATTCACATTCAATATAGTGCCTACTTTTGAGTCCAATGTGGGCTCACTCATGAAAACTATAAAAATGCCTGCAACTTTAAACTGATGAGACTGGCTTTTTAATTTTCTGATCTTCTTAAATAATTTTTTTTTTTTTTTTTTCTTTTTGCAGATGCTATCCTTTTGAGTACGTGATGATATCTTCGCATATCGATATTGGAGCTCACTATTGATACTAAAACAAGCAATAATATATATGTTTTTTTTTTTGTATTGTCGATATTTTTGTTTTGTTTTAGATACAAATTTGAGTTCTTGAATTATCAAAAATTATTAGTATTGTTTAAGGATGTTTTATATATTTTTGTAAGGAATGTTTGGTTGACACTGTATTGCTACATGGTACTTATATATTATTATTCGTATATATGATTTTGTGAATGTGAATGTCAATGTGTGTGGATGTGGATGTGTTTTATTTGAGAAAATATTAATAATTTGTATAGGGAATGAATTAATAAAATAAATATTTATTTTATAAAAATTATTTTGCGACCGTAATAAACCGTCGCTAATGTTATCATCATTTTCTTGCATTTTATTAGCGACGGGTTAATCTGTCTTATATACATATTAGTGCCATCTTTAGCAACAGTTTCAACTATCGCAAATACATTATTGATTTAATTCTATTTTTTTGTGACGTTTAAGACCGATGCTAATAATACTTTTCGCGACGTCAACTAACGTCTCTAAAAAAGTTTTTGGTGACGGCATCCTAAACCGTCACTAAAAGTGAATTTTTTTTTAGCTTTTTTGTGTCGGGTTAAACCGTCGCAAAAACCATTGATTTACCGTTGCTACAAGGAAGCGACGGTTTGTAGCCGTAGCAAATACCTTTTGTCACACCCCCTTCCGCCATCCCCCATTTCTCGTCGCTACTCCGTTGCAAAAAGTCTTTTGCGATGCTATGTGGACCTTTTGCGACGTTTGAGACCGTCGCAAAAAGTCCAATTTTTAGTAGTGTGTGTGAGTGGATCAATTGATTGATCAAATCCACTTACTACATAATCTTGCATCTATGTTGGCCTTCTTTTAATATGTTGAGGTTTTGATCCAGTTGGAACATGTGATGCCCCGGTCCTTGTTTTCTTTATTTTACTTCTTCCTCTCTTCTCTTTTTATCTTTGTTGGATTAACCACACTTAAAATTAGTCCTCTAAATAATAGTCTTTGTCTTTGTTTTGCTTGGGGACTTAAATCTCTCTTGTTTCGGAGGATGCGCAGCTGAGTCCAGAGTGCCCGAGAGTGAAGCCAGAAAATTCTGGGTTGGAGGCCAGGGCCGCACGTGCGGGAGAGGGGTCGTACGTGCGGGGAGTAAGGCCGCACGTGTGGAATTCAGGGGATTGTTTGGCTGGCTTCTGTCTAATATGCACAAGCGGAGAGTGGTGCGGGAAAGGAGCCCCGCACGTGCGGGGATGAAGGCCGCACGTGTGGGAAGGGCGCTCCGTACATTCGGGGAGGTATGCCGTACGTACGGCCGACGGGCAGCCGAGATCTCTATTTTTTTTACACTTTTGGCCGAAGTTGTATCATATTTTAGGGCTTCTCTCTCTCACTATACTTCATTTCTCTCCTCCTTCTCTCTAGAAACCCTAACTAAAACACCCTAACATCTTGATTTCTTTGCAAATCTTTGGATCTAGAACATCATCATCCCTCCTAAATCTTGAAGATCAAGCTTGGACATCTCTTGGTGTAGGAGAAATTGAAGAATCCTCCATCTAAAAGCTAGGGTTTCCATCTCTTTCATCATCAAACATTGAGGTAGGGAAATCTCATTGAGTTATATATATATATATATATATTTATGTTAGAGTTAGTTGGTTTTAAAGTTTCCATTAATGGTATTGAAGGTTTAGTTTTGTCTCATAAATGTTAGAGTTTCACAAATGGGTTTTGATCTCTCTCCCTAAACTATCTTCTTGATGCTTTTAACTCATATAATAGTGGGTGTGGTATTTTGAGGGAAAAAACCTCTCAAAAGAGAGGAAAGATGTTTGTTTTGGCTTTTGACATAAAACCCTAGAAATTTTTGGGGATTTTGAAAGGTGAAAGTATGTTTAGAGTCATCTTGTTGTTTTAAAAATTAGTGAGTGAAACTTTCATCACATTGTGTAGCATAAGTGGTAATTTACTTAGTGTATGAGAAAAGAGTTATTATCCTAACATTATTGTTGAATATTTGAAAGTGTATTGTTGTGAAATAACAAATGGTTGTGCACCTTGGTTAGAGCAAATTGTAGAACATTGGAATTGATGATTTAAAGGTATCACATGTAGACTTGAAGAGGGCCAATTTGTAGTGAATTGAACATGAAAAGATTTTATTGCTATGAATTGATCGCATGGTCCTTGTGAATTAATATTGAGGAGAAGAAATGGCTAATGTAGTTAATTGACATTGTTGTAGAGATGCTTGAAATAGAGGAATGTATGAGCCATTATGTATTGCATCATGTTCTCATTTGATTTACTACCATCATTGCACATTTTGAAATGAATAGGAAAATGTTACTTTGAAAAGGGTATGTTGTAATGAGAACAATGAAAATGTGTATGGGGTAAATACGTGGTAAGTCCGGATAGGGGGTGTAGTGGAACTTGATAAGTTGGCCTGAGTGTCCTTGGTGAAAGACCAGAAAACCACGTGGATAGGTGTCTAGCCTTCCAGTTAATATCGGTAAAAATGACAATTTGGTAGTACTTGTATAGTCTACTTGCAGACACCAGCCTAGGGATTACCAGTGTCGTATTTACCACCCCTTGGATTAATGAAATTGAAGGTTTGAAATTGATGAAATTGAAATATGTTAATGCAAAACATGGAGATTCTTCCAAGAAAAGCATGGTATGTGATTATTTTGATAAAGGCATTGTATCGCATTTTGCACTTGCATATGATATTGGACATTCAACATAAATGTATATACTTTGTTAGGAATTTCTCTGTTGGGCTTTATGCTCACTCCTATGGGATTTGGTGCAGGTAAGGATGTGGTGATCCCGCCAAGCTAAGGGCGTGGATATGTTTTGGTGAAGAGTAGTCTTGCTCTTATTTTTATTGTGGTATTTTTGTAAGCCAAGGGCTAATATGTTTGGGTCCGAGAGACCATTTTGTGTAATCGGGCTATTGTCTTAGAAGATATAAGCCCTTAAGGGCATTTTATTGTTTTTGAGATTAGATGTTTCACATGCTATAGATTCAGGTGTTCTTTTATTTTGTTGAATGTGTACTGCATGTGGAACTTTTGTATTAAACTCATTTATCAAGTATGGGAAGATGGAAGAATTATTGTTATTGTTTAGTGAATGTTTATAGCGACCCCCGGTTTTCTCTCCATTCATTATTGTATCCCGGGCTTTGGTTCTGTGGTGTGGGATGTTGTATATCTTGTTTCCGTCCTTCAATACTTTGTATTTGAGTTATAGGATGTTATGGTCAGGTTTGTTACAGGTTGGTAGTGAGTTTGAACCAATAGTTGCTGCCCAGATTTTGGTGTCTTCGCTCGAACGAGGCTTTTGTCGCTGGAGCGAGCTTTGTGTTTTAGATCCTTCGCTCGAGCCAAGGTTCCTTCGCTCGAGCGAGAGTTGAGTGTTGTGTCTGGTGGCTCGAGCGAGAAGTCTTACACTCGAGCTTGCGTCTACGTCTGGTTCTGGACCTGATGGTTGCATTTCTTGGCTCGAGCGAGCGAGCTGTATGTTTTGGGTTTCTTCACTCGAGCGAGCTTTCCTTCGCTCAAGCGTGCTTCTGGGTTGCAGACCTAAAGCTTCGAATTGTTGGCTCGAGCGAGGCTTTCTACGCTCGAGCGAGGTTTCTTTGTATCTGGTCGCTCGAGCGACCACTTCTTCGCTCGAGCGAGCCTCAAATATATCAGTTGGCAGCAGCGGGTTTTTACACACTTTTTCATCTCTTTCTTTATATAAACCCTAGCCCCGGCTGTCTTTCTCTCCACACTCACTCTCTCTCTCTCTCTCTAAGATTTCATCTACTTCTAGTGGTCTCCTACCCTAGTTCCTTTGTATAAAGTATAGAGCTTGGTTTGGTCAACATTTTGATCCGAAAATCTCTTGGTTTGGAGCACTTTGAGTTTTCTTCATCAACTCCTTTGGTCTCTCCATTTGAGGTAGGGATAACCTACTCTAATCTATGAGTTTTAACATAAGTTTTAGTAATTTTGATTATATGGTATTGTTGGGTAATTTTGGGAAAAGTTAGGGTTTGATTCGTAATTACATAAAGAGGGGTTTTATGTTTTAAAAGCTCCATGTGTATATAAGGCTTGGGAATATGAGTTTGCGAATGAAATTGGTGGAATTTGGTCTTAGGATCAATATTTGAGAAAGGGGGTAAATGCCCTAATTGTTGTAATAAATTAATTAGTATAATTAATTTGGGGGAAATGCGAAATTGAGTAGAGATCCATGAAATTGAGAAATTATAGGATTGAATGGTGTAGTTGGATTAATTTATCACTCACCTATGAAAATGTTGAGATTATATCTGTTTGATACATTTATTTTCTGTTTAGATATAACTGCTTTGGGCTATCGATGGAGGATAGTCTTGATTGTTGTAGACACTGTATGTTGATTTGGGAAAACTGAAACTAATCACATTGAATATGTCATTGAATGTGACGGTTGGGATAATACATCAAATATGTGTATTAATTGATCCTTGTTTATGATGAGTGTTTATATACTTGGAATATGTGTATTGTATGGGAGGAGATAGGGGATGTACTCCATGGTTTGAGAGGAGATAGAGGATGGACTCTCAAACCTGTTTGGGAGAAGATAGGGGATGGACTCCATTGATACAGCAAATATGTGTATCACTTGAAGTGTTAATATAGCAAATGTGTGTATTAAATTGAAATATTGGAAGTGTCTTAATATGAGTTGTAGACTCATTTGAATTATGAATAAAGGAAGTGTTTTAGTGGGATGTAGTCTCATTTAATTTGTTGGCCAGGTTCTGAGCCATGTTTATGAGATGATTTGGATAAGTAAAGGAAAGTGGAATGTAACATGGACATGATTGTCATGGAACTGTATTGTGATATAAATTGGTATATAAGTGTCGACCATCTATCAAATGCTATTGTTTTAGTCATTACTCATATTTGGTTTAGTATATCTCTACTGGGCTGTGGCTCACCCTATATGGGACATCATTTTTAGGTTCGGAAGACATGCCACCACCAAAGACATAGCTTTGGGTTTCTGGGAGTTGAATACTCTTTTTGGTTATTTTGTTATTTTGATATTACATGTAAATTCAAGCCAGGGGCTTAAAATGCAATTGAGTTAGTACTCTCTTTTGTGACCAAGTGTTGGCTTGGAAAGTTGTAAGCCCATAGGGCATTTACTTTTGT